GACAGAGAGCAATGGGGAAGTGAGACACAAACCCTGGAGAGTCAAAGAGGCAGGTTTTGTGTCCCCTTTCCTCTCAGCCATTCAGGGTCGAGTCCCCAGCCGTAGTGTCTGCTGTTGGACTTGTCCTGTCCACCCTGTGTCTGGAGGCTGTCAGGCTGCCCCAGGCACCAGGGCCCTGCTGCTGCGAAGGCGCCGTCTGGGCTCACCCTTGCTGGCCAAGCCCAGGCGAGGGGCAGCGGGAGCAGGTGGGGCAGTGTGTGGAGCTGGAAGCTGCTGGGTGTCCTGGGGAAAGCTTTGCCATGTTTCTGCTCCCCCAGGCTGAGCTTCCCTTTGGGCCAGTCCTGCAGCAGCAGAGCCGACCCTGGTGCACGCGGCTGGTGCAGACAGGTTTGTCAGGCCTTGCTGGCAGAGAGGTTTGTCAGGCCTTGCTGAGCCCGCCGGCGCTCTGCGGGTGGGCAGGGAGAGGTGGACAGCCGCAGCTGCTTGTTGCCTGCTGGTTTGACTCAGCGGACCTCGCTGTGCGTGTCCCCAGTCGAACTGCCCAGATCTCCTGCTGGGGCGGTAGCTACAGCTGTGCACGGTACCAGCCAAACTTTGCCATGCTCCTGTCACTGTGATTCGCTACAATGGCAAGAGACCGTTGAGCATCCCTGTGCAATTCTGTGCAATTCATGGAGCCACTTCTGCCTCCAGGAACACCGTAAGCATCCCTGGGGTCCAAGCTGAGCACAAGTCCTGGATATTACTGTGCTGACTGGGAGAGCAGTGCCACCCAGGGTCCTGGTGACACTGAGCATTGGGGAAGTGAGAGACAAACCCCAGAGTCAAAGAGGGGGTGAAGCAAGACATGTGTGCAGGGTGCGTGCTGCTTCCTGTCCCCTCTGCACGGCCGCGTCTCTGAACGTCCTTGACCATCACTGGGGTGCAAGCCGAGGACGAGGCAGTGTATTACTGTGGTGGTGGTGCTGGCAGCAGCAGTGGTGCCCTCAAGGTGATGAAGAGGGATGGGGAAGTGAGAGAAACCCCCATGAGTCAAAGGGGAAGGTTTTCTGCCCTTTTCCCTCGTGTTCAAGGAGGGCTGTAGCTTCAGGGCACATGCTGGTACCTGTCTCCTCTGCACAGTCACGTCTGTGAACGTCCTGTCCCTTGGCTCAAGGAGGTGAATCTGTGGCCAGGCCTGTCTTGTCCCTGTCCGCACTAACAGCACCACGTGGGCTTATGCCCAGTGGCCCCCTGCTTTGCTCCCCCCAGAGCTGGCCCTGTGCTGGCACCTGCCAGGCTGGGCTCTGCTCCCCAAATGTGCCTGTGGCCCGGGTCCCTTCTCCTCCTGCTGCGGCGTTGCCCATGCCTGCTGCTCCCGCTCTGCTTGCAGGGCCTGGCGAGCTCTGTCCTTTTGCTGTGTGTGGGGCCGTTGGTCTGTGTGTCGCATGGGGTGCTGTGGGCGCAGGGCGCCTGTGGCGTGTCCTGCTGCCTGGGGGAGGGCTTAGCTGCTCCGGCACTTGCTGACCTCACATCTTCTGCCCTCTCTCCTCTCCCTCTCCAGGTTTGCTGGTCCGTCCAGGCAAGGCTGACTGAGCCGGCATCGGTGTCCCTGGGACAAACTGACTAGGTCAACTGCTCTAGGGGTGGCTGCTACTCTGCCTGGTTCCAGCAGAAACCTGGCAGTGCCCCGGTCGCTGTGATATACCAGAATGACAAGAGACCCTCGAACATCCCTGCGCGATTCTCCGCTTCCACCTCTGGCTCCACGGGCACGTTGACCATCACTGGGGTGCAAGCCGAGGACGAGGCAGTGTATTACTGTGGTGGTGGTGCTGGCAGCAGCAGTGGTGCCCTCAAGGTGATGAAGAGGGATGGGGAAGTGAGAGAAACCCCCATGAGTCAAAGGGGAAGGTTTTCTGCCCTTTTCCCTCGTGTTCAAGGAGGGCTGTAGCTTCAGGGCACATGCTGGTACCTGTCTCCTCTGCACAGTCACGTCTGTGAACGTCCTGTCCCTTGGCTCAAGGAGGTGAATCTGTGGCCAGGTCTGTCTTGTCCCTGTCCGCACTAACAGCACCACGTGGGCTTATGCCCAGTGGCCCCCTGCTTTGCTCCCCCCAGAGCTGGCCCTGTGCTGGCACCCGCCAGGCTGGGCTCTGCTCCCCAAATGTGCCTGTGGCCCGGGTCCCTTCTCCTCCTGCTGCGGCGTTGCCCATGCCTGCTGCTCCCGCTCTGCTTGCAGGGCCCGGCGAGCTCTGTGTGTGGGGCCGTTGGTCCGTGTGTCGCATGGGGTGTTGTGGGCGCAGGGCGCCTGTGGCGTGTCCTGCTGCCTGGGGGAAGGCTTAGCTGCTCCGGCACTTGCTGACCCCTTGTTTTCTTTTCTACCCTCCCTTCTCTCCAGGTTTGCTGGTCCGTCCAGGCAAGGCTGACTGAGCCGGCATCGGTGTCCCTGGGACAAACTGACTAGGTCAACTGCTCTAGGGGTGGCTGCTACTCTGCCTGGTTCCAGCAGAAACCTGGCAGTGCCCTTGTCACTGTGATATATGAAAAGAGCAAAAGACCCTTGAATATCCCTGTGCGATTCACTGGTTCCAGGTCTGGCTCCATGGGCACGTGAGCCATCAGTGGGGCGCGAGCTGAGGACGAGGCTGAGTGTTACTGTGGTGCCTGGGGTGGTAATCCTTACAGGGCTCCTAGAGCCCCTGAGCAATGGGGGAGTAACAGAGAAATGCTAGGGTGGGTGAGGACCCTTTCATATCCTAGTCTCTGCTCTCAGGGAGAGTCCTCCCTCTTGCATTCTCACCTGTGTCCCAGTCCCCGTTTGCCACCAGCCCCAGGGTGGTGGAACGCCGGGACTTGCAGCTCCTGGGCTTGGGGCGCCTTGGGAGGGCAGCTTTGGGCAGTGAGTGTAAAATCTCCTCCTGTGGTGCAGGGTTGGGTGCTGAGTGCCCTGGGCAGGGCCAGGCCTCTGTGCCCCTGTGAGGGTGGTTTGGGGGTTTCTCTGCATCCAAGGGCTCTGGTCCCCGTGCAGGAGCTCTGCAGCATGTTGGCCGGCTGGGAGGTCGCTGGGCCTGGCCCATGCCCAGCCATGTCCCGCTGCCGGGAAGGGGCTGCCCTGCTCCCCGTGCCTGTCCCAGGGCTGCTGCTGGGGCCGAGGATGATGGCTGCTGTGGGGCACTAAGTGTTTCCAGCAGCGGCATTTGCTAGGTCCCCATGAGCGGGGCAGGAGGAGAGGGCAGGGGAACGTGGGGTCCATGGGGTGCCCGAGGGCCAGGTGTGGACGGAGATGCTAGGCTGGTGGGGCTGTGGTCTTGGGGTCTTGTGCAAGGGGAGCTGCCCCTCAGGGAGCCGAGGCCCAGCTGGCCTTGCCCCTCTGCTCTCCCAGCGCCTTGGTGTGGGGAGGGAGGGCTGTGCATGGGGCTGGGGACAGGAGAGCTGCCTCAAGCCCCTTCTGATTGTGGGGGGCATGGGGGAGTCTGTGCTCTTCTACCAACTTGATCCCAGCCCCGCACCCTGTGCCCATCACCATCCCCGCATTCAGGTCCTGGAGCTCGCGAGTCCCTGATCGTTTTAAGACGTAGAGATAGGAGGGAGGGAAGTGGGGGCCCAGCTCCTGCCTTTTCGCAGCCCCCTTGGCTGCACTGTCCCCACAGGCAGCCCAGTGGGTCTCCAGCCCTCGACCAGCCTTGGATCCAGCGCGTCCTGGCCCACAATAGCTCACAGGCTCCCTCCCAGCGAAGGCAGACCCCTGACCCCGTTGGCACTGCAATGAGTCCGGAGGAGAATGTGACGGGGCCCATGGAAATGCCCTGCCCGGGGCCTTGTGCATCCGTCCCCAGGATGGGCACAGGCTCCTCTGCTCGCTGCAGCCCGTGGCAGGACTGAGGAAAGGCCAGGCAAGGAGTGGGGGGATTTGTCCACTGTGTCTGGAGCACAGGGGCACGAAGGCCTTGTTGCTGCCACAGGCCGCATCCCCAGGGTTGTCTGCAGCTGCTGGTGCCCTGGCCGCTCGGTGGTGAGTGTGGCCCCAGGAGGCTTTGGTGATGAGCACAGGGCAGACTTGCATGGAGGAGCCATGCCCCGGGCAGCTGGGGGTTTAAAAGGGTCCGTGGCTCAGCTCCGTCGGCGTGGGGACGCGGAGCTGGTGGGATCGCGCCATGGCCTGGGCCCCTCTCCTCCTCGCGGTGCTCGCCCACGGCTCAGGTGCCCTGGCCGGACTGGGTGTCCCCGGCCGGGGCCTGCGGGCAGAGGGGCCGCCTTGCGTCCCGCTGCCTGGGGGGGCTTTGCTGCTCCGGCACTCGCTGACCCACCGCTTTCTGCCCTCTCTCCTCTCCCTCTGCAGGTTCCCTGGTCCAGGCAGC